AATAAATATTTCGAAATATATCACGATGAATCGTATAAAAAAGGCCCCGGAGTTGTACAGAATTAGTCAGTGGAAACAGTTTTACCTTTTACTTTAATAAAAGATTTTTGTAAATTAAGAACTATAATAAGAATTAATTATAGAAATCTTAAACAAGAAAACTATAAAATATTGAAAAGAATGCCTTCTGAAAATGGTGATTGTCGAAAAAAAATTAAAAAGTTAAGTAAGATAATCACATATTAAAAAGTATAGCTCATTAATTTGTTAAATAAATATTAGACAAAAGACTTGTAAATTTATTGACGTACAGTACACTTATTAAATCCGAAAATTCTACAGTAGTTTACATTTAGTAGTAATTTAATAATTAATTAAGAAATGATTTAATATTTTATCGTATTTTGTTATTTGAAAGGTCTGTCATGTTGAAGTAGAGGACTTGCTGTGACGTCACATAGATCCAAGGTCATGCTAACAAATATACGGGATCTGGCTATCCTTGTAGTTTAAAGTCCTTGGCCCAATCTGCTACTTGTACCCAATCTGGCAACCCTGCGTCTGACTTCATTTTTATTCCCGTACTCCGACGAGGAGAGATAGACAGCTTTTCACTTTACATTAGTTAAAAAGAAATATTTCATAAAATTAATTCGACATTTAAAATATCCGTAAATATTAAATTAATAAACGTAGACATTTTTAACTTCCGAATTAATTAATTTCGTAATAAAAAAACAACAGGCTATTTTAGTGCTATAATTGTCAACCATTTGGTAAATAACAAAAGCAGTATCGCCATGTTGTAAATCCAACCGATTAACGAATTTGTTTTATTATAAATGGTGAATTTTTATTTTTGGAGGAAGTTTTCTGCAGAAATAGTAAGTAAAACGTATATTATTATTATTATTATTATTATTAAAGATTTAAAAATATTATTCGTTTCCGTCGGGTATAATCTGTAAAAAAAGAAATGTGGCGTTAGGTGCACGCTCGTTTTTAATCTTCGCTCGCTTCTACGCTTTGATATTTCGGTAAAGTGGCGGCGAGAAACGAGAAAAACAATCGATGCCGAGCTTTTAATTTAATCATTCCGTGTTAATTTACTTGGATACTGTTTTACTCGATGAATTTAACTCTATTCTTATTTATTTGACAGATACAATTGCTTCCAATTGATTAAAAAAAAAAACTGGTAGGTGTTTTGTGTATGTATACGACCATTGGAAAATGGGTGTATACATACACATGAACTGTTAATGAGGAATTTTCCATTCCCCTAGAGTTATAGACCATACCTGTACGTGTGACTTTTACCGGTTTTTACAGTGAACCCGGTATACTGCCTGTTTTCTGTGTCGGTCGAGGCTTATCGCCTGCCTTGACTGATGCTCCGCGTGTGGTTGTGTGCTTTGGTGCTCGCTCCTCTGTCCCCGCCTCCCCAAACTTACGTGACGTTGTATCTTCCGTGACGGGTCGAGAGGGCTACTCGGAATCGGCATAGTCGTCCGGACTAAATTGGATTAAATTCAGACGTTTTGCGTATCTCATTTGTTCAAAAAATCGATAGAAGGGGTCTTCTACTCCTCGTTCATTGCTATTTAATTGAAGTTAATGACTGCTACTTTACTACTGGTTAATATTAGACGATAATAAACACTGCTAAAACCGAAGAAACTAGCGAGAAAAATATACACGCAGTGCGAATGTTTTCGCCCACGTTAAATGGACATCGTTGGGCAACAAACCGTTTTGTTGAGTTTGTTGCCTGATGATGTTCGTTTAACATGGGCGAAAATATGTTATTACGTGGTGTATTTAAATTTAATATGCCATATTAATTAATGTGTTTTTAACAGTATGTGAGGTTGAGGAAATGTTAACATTTTCGACGCTGTTAATGGGTGTAGACAGATGAAATCAGTGATTTCATTTTCGACTATTGACTGAAGATGATCTGTAACCAGGTTGAAAATGTAGGTGTTCTTCAACTTCAGTTAGGATCAATTTTGAACAGTTTTGTTCATTTCACAAAAAAAAAAAAAAAATTGTTCATTTCACAAAAAAAAAAAAAATGGATTCACATGAACCTTTAACCAGTGCATAAGTAAAATGTAATAAATCCAAATATTTTCATAACCCTTTCCGGGTTCACCCCCCTCGCTGGATCTTCTGAAAAGAATAACAAATACAAGAATTTTTGAACAAAATTGAACGATGTAAATTTCAAATGTCCAGTTCCTCTGTGCGTCAGTTCACATGACGTGTTTTATCGAGCTGATTTACCTGACAAAGAACCTGGAAGGAGTTATGAAAATGTTTGGATTTATTAATTTTACTTATTACACACCGGTTAAAGGTTCATGTAAGTCATTTTTTTGTTATATATAATACCCTGCTGTGCGGTTCGGGATTTATGGTATTTGTTCATTTCATTCAACGATTCCACATAAGTAGCATATCTTGCTAATAGTAATTGCTTTTCTTCAATAAAATTTCTTGATAAATGGCTATAATTAGCATACATCATTATATTTGATAGTAAATTATGATTAATTTTGCATTCTGTATAATCATCTAATCCAGATAATGCCATTTTGTGAAGGCATGGCATCCCTTTATATTTTATGGAAAAATTTTTAAAAAATTCATCAATCTTTTTTCAGTTCAGGAATGTAATATTTGGGTTTTGGCATTTGATTTAGAAACATTCCGTATAACAGTAGTTAACTTAAAAAGTTGTTTATAGAAAAAGTTTAAATTTTGTATTTTTTAAAGCAACTTTGCTCCATTTTTAGAATATACAGTTAGTTAATTCTCCATAAATAAATCAAATCAACGGATTGAGATTGGAAGATCCAGGAAGTAAGTGATCTATCTCAGTTCATCAATTTTTATTTGTGGGTATACTTGACGATTATAGTATATCAGATGAAACTATAAAATACTGGCCATTTGAAAGAATGTTTGTGATGCACATATATTGTACATATAACGTCAGAGTCAACAACACATTCACATTTCTTCCATTCAAGGCAAACATTATTATATAAATTCAATTAAATGATGCATTCATAAAACTTTTTTATAAAGGTATTTTACATAAAACAAAAAAGCAAAGCAGGTATTTTATAGAAATTAATGTTAAAAATTTTAATAAATTATCATGGATAAAAGGAATGCTAATAATTTCCTTGTCAGGAATGACTAATTTAAAATTAAATTCTTGATAGAAAGATTAATTTATATTATAACATATTTATTATTTTTCATTAGTTAGTTGTTTTTAGTGTTTTGTTCTGTTTAACTTATACTGTGTGCGCAATAAATCAGTTTACATTGATTCCATTTAATTGTTATAAGATATCTAATATCATGTAGCAATTAGCTGGAGATACTTGATTTCAACATTGATAATATTTTTAAAAGGAGTATCAGTGATGCCAGAATTTTGAATGATCAAAAATCTAGTGTGACGATTTAGTCCTTAAATTAAATGCTTAATTAAGCATAAAAATCTAAAAAGATTTTACTCAAAATTCTACAATATTTTAAAAATAAAAAATTATAATTATCTTATATAATAACATACAAAAACCTGATTTGATTTGTAGTGTTATATAAATAAATAAATCCGATAAATAATCTAGTACGTGGATTGCCATCCTCTCAACGGTGTTGTTCCGAATCTAAGTTATAGTGTTATTCCGGGTGTCAACGTGATTCTATCAATTTTGTTATGTATATTATCAAAATTGGCTCGGTTGTATTGGACTTCAAAAATATATAATTTTGAAATTAAGTTGTTAATTGAATTATATTCTTACATGTGAAGCATGGTGCACAACACTAAGCGTAAACACATGCGCTGTAATATATACAAGCAATAGATTTGTTTTTAATGTCTTGTGGCCTACACTGAACTATGGCTTCCATTTAAATGTGTAATTAATAATTAAAATATAATTTTTACTACATTTCTATTCAGTCAGTGTGTCACTGAAAATCATCCGCATGCCACAGGTTGCCAACCTCTAATCCAGCAGACCATTTGACACTGTAACAAATTTTTAAAATATTCATACAGCAAATAAATAAATCTAAATTATATTTAACCAAATATTATAAAGTTACTATTGGCTCCTCCCCTGATCACCTTTGGATGTTCAAATTTGGCATTTAATGTCCTTTTCCTGCACATTCCACATCAGCATTGCAACTTATATTGATTAAATAAGTAAATAATAATAATATTAAATTAATAAAGAATAAGTGATGGTAAGGCAAAATAAAATATAAATGTAATAAAATGCATGTGAACATATTTAAAAAACAGACATATGATGATCTATGAGATGTCGAAGATTGTGATTTGAAACCTCTTAGTGCATCAAATCTCAAAAATAAAATATAGATTTTGGATTATTTTTGGTTATATATTTGATATTTCCTTGCAATTATTTTGTTTTTCTGTAAGAAATTTGCTTCTATTTAAATATTTCTCTTCATGGTGTATAGATAAGGGAATACCTAAATCATGGTATCATGGAAAGTGCATATTTTACCATTATATGCAAAGTATCGTGATTTTTGGAATTACTATTGATTTTTAATTACACTGATTAAAGATGATTTAATCTACATTTTGTACATTTACATTATAGATGTCCAATGCTACTCCTACATAGACCCTTTCATATAAATAATCTTATTATATCTTGAATAAGATTATTGACAACAGTGTTGATGTCTTCTAGGTAAAAACAGTGACAGATTTAGGGAGGGCATTTGCTCTTCATTGACAAGTTTTTAACTTTGTGTAAAGGTTATAATTATTAGTTATTATCCTGCTCAAATGGTAGCATCTAGACCAGTGTTTCTCAACAGGGGTGATATCACCCCCATGTGGGAGTTTTTCCATGTTGGGAGGCGATTAGTAACAATTTATATTTTGGGTGGGCAAAAAAACAATTTTCTGGACGATATAGTAAAACATTATATTAAGAATAATTAGATATTTTATTCGTTATATCGTACAGTAATTAAACAAGTAACATAATACTAGTCACTAGTCTATTCAATGCAGTACAAATTTGGTGTTAGTCATGGTTCTCGGCATTGGAATTTTGAAGGGAAGGGGGCGATAATAGGTAACGGTTTTATTGAAGGGGACGATACTACGTTGAAGGGTCTAGATCAGTGTTTCTCATTCTCTAACAAATCGGTTGAGGTTGAGAAACATTGATGTAGACCAACCTCTTTTATACTATGCCCTACCTAAGCCTTTCTAAAATTCTTATGCTCCCTAACATACATATACAGTGGCTACTTAAACTCTGGATGAGTCCATTTTTGAATTGCCCCCTTAACAATCCACTTGCCTCCCCACGCCCCACATTGGGAACATTGATCTAGATGGTCACCAGTTCAGATTAATTGAGCTATTTTCCATTGATATTCTAATGAGAACTGGTGTTTAAAACAAGATGTGGCTGATGCATAGGTTATATTAATTCAATTTTTTACTTAGAGCAACTCGTGATATGGAAGAATGAATATTGTGATCATATCAACTTTCAGTAGATAGACACAAATTATGATACCTGTGATGCTGGTACATGTGCATATCTTAAGTTTTACCAAATGAATTGGTAAGAAATTTCATATTTAACCTTTTTACATCAATATTATGATTTTATCAATTTTCAATATTGATCAGTCAATCAAAAGTGACACTTTACTGTAGTGTTTTCTAATCTTTCAATATATACAGCTCTTCAGACTTGACCAATTATATTCAAATTTAGCAGGTAATTACTTTCTAACATACAAATGTTTAAAATTGAATGACAATTTGCTCTGTAGCAGTTGGTTATTTGATTGATGACCACATCTGTTTATTTTTTAGCTGTTTATTAAATGCAAAAGTATTCATTGATTTTATTATTATATTTGTACTTTTTTAAAATTCTGTCATTATAATTTGTAATTGATATAATAAATTCATTCTTTTTCTGCTTAAACAGGTAATTTTGGAGATACTTAGATTCCTGGCTTTAAATGTTTAATAGGCGTAATGTGCAAACAAAACTGAGCAATTTCAGTGGATACACTTTTGTGCATGACTAAATTATAAATTTAAAGCATCATCCTGTTGTAAAATTCTTTAAAAATGTATTAAAAGGTTTTAATACTGCTTGCAAAATGATGCATGTTCAGTACCAACCTCTCTTTTGTTTTATTTTTGTTTGTATTTATAAGCATGCAGAGATGTAAATTTTATTGTATGATACAAATATACATAGGCTTAATTTTACTTGCTCAATATTTGTAGCTTCACCTAATAAATATAAGTCCATTATTAATTTTTAAGCACAAACACACCTAATATTGCATGGTTTTTTGTTATTTTTTTCTTGTGATTGGCTTCATCTGGCCAGTGAATGTGCAAATGCAAACACCTCTGAGTAGTGATGGTCAATCCAGTTCCTCTTCTGAAACTGTCTGACAGTAGGTTTTAAAGTAATTGGGTGGGGAAAGACTTTTGTTACCATCCTGTATATACATTTATGTAGAAATAGTGATTGAAATAGAGAAGTAGAAATGACAATAATCTTCCAGCATTCATAACTGTCTTGATAGAATGATAACGTTCTCGCCTTTGTAATGTCTTTTTGTCCTTTCTTACTTTTGTGCCGTCACCAACTGTCATCCTCCCTCACTTCTCCCCTTACTCATCCTTATCCCTTGTTCTCCTTGTCTTCCCTGTAACCCCTCATAAATTTATTGTCTTAACAGTTTAAAAATGTTACTCGTCTAGACCCCACATTTATCATTTATAAAGTAATTTTTTTTTTAATAAAAACAGGCAATAGATGATTTAGCATGAAGTTATAAATAACATATTGTCATTTTGTAAATTCGGAGCTATAAACAACATATTGTCATAAATTTGGAGCTCTTGTTTACAGAAGAGAAGACAAATGTTCATCACTCTTAAATGAACTATATCACAAGTTGCAGTATCATGATATTATTGAAGGAAGAGTCTGCGAGTACTTTTGATGTGATGTGACTCATCTGATATCACATCAAAAGTACTGACATTAAATAGTTTATACATAGGCCTAGTCTTAGTAAAAATAATAATTTTGCAACTATTTCATTAAATAACACAATGAATTTTAGAATGACATGTATTTGAATGCTATTGTTGTTGTTGAAATAAGAAAAGACCATACACCCTATTAGCTTATTAGAACAAATATTTATTCTTAAATTATCTCAACATGTCAATGTGATTGATTAAATAAAATTTGATTCATATTTGTTAGATACTACAAATTTCTCTCTTTACTGCATGTTTGTGATTTGATAGTAACAACGGAAAGTTTACCTCATTTAAAATCTTGTTTAGCTTCAATTTTCATTAAATTTCTCTAATTTTATTCCTTCATTTTGTAATTAAGTTCTGTTTGGGTTAATTTTAATAATATTATTTTAATTTAAATTTAAACTATTGTTTTATTCTACATCATTTGTGTTGGGTTGGTTGTTTTTGCACGTGTGAAAACCAAACAATTGGGGTCCAATCAGGTTACGCATATGTATGGGCACGAGATTCGGGGATGTCTTTTGTTCAGGTCAGTTGAATGGGCAGGACATGACCAGAGTCCACTCCAGACTGTTATAACCAACCAACTTGTAGTTCTTTGTAAGAGATTAAATGAGAATTTCACGATTAGAGATCTTTACACTCCAAGATCCTAACAATTTGATATTATATTGCAAGAATTTTCTGTAACCGTAGCTGGCCTAAGAAGATTGAAAATGTTTAGAAATCTACACAGCTTTTAATTTTATGAATAATTTCTAATTAAGTAGTTTTANCAAATACTATAATATAATATAGTAGAAGGGTTAGAAGTACAAAATAATTTAATAATCTTAATCTTTACTGTTGTTATTTTTTGCCCGAGCAACGCCGGGCTCATCTGCTAGTATATATATAATTATTGATCTTTTCTTAAACTTTTAGAAAAGAAATCAGTTAAATAAAGGCAATAATGAGCTTTAAAGGAAGGGAAAGAAGTGGTAGGCCAGAATCTGATCGAGATTCGGATCACTCTTCCCAAGACGGCGCTTTTGATAAAAAGATTCAAAGCTCGAGATTATATATCGGTTTCCTCAGTGATCGAGTAACAAAAGCCGATTTAGAAGAAAAATTTTCAAAATATGGAAGAGTTTCAGGTAATCAAATATTGAAAATTTAGATAAATGACAACCGTTAATCCAGTTGTTAATTATAATTAAATAATAAAATAGAATGACACATATAAATTTAATTATACATGTGGTGTCCTACTTTGTAACCACTTGTTTTTCCCCTCGTATTTCAAACCTAAATGCGGCTGATATATACAACTACAAGCATTTTTATTTAATTATAATTAACTGTCGGGTTAAAGATTGTCGATTCTGTTTTAGTTGTCCAGTTTTAATTTTTTGAATTATTGAAAACTTAAACTTAAGTGCTATTTTTCAGTAGAAATCATTAATGAAGTGGTAATACATAAACAAGTTTTTTAATTTGATTTTTTTTCTTTCTAAAGATAGTTTAATTGAATGATTCAGGAGCATTAGAAAATGAGTAGTTTTAAATTCAAATGTTTTGGATTTACATATATAAACATCTCTAAGCTTGATACAATAGTTATATTAAATCCAAACAAATTTCGGAATAAATTGGACTATATTACTGTTACTATTAATAATTAAATACTGAGTAATTTGGCACTAAAGATAGATGTTAGGTGCCATCACTTATTAAATTTAATAACTACAATTAATTAATATTCATGAAATAATTTAAAAAATTCTGCAAGAAAAGAATCTGCCCAGAGAGCGACTTGAATCTGTAACAGCCAGTTACCGTGCAGATGCATTGCCAATTAAGCTAGTTCTGTCCAATCCATTGCTTCCTGACATATTTAATTTAGATGTAATCATGCTAGTTACTCATGGTACTCGGCCAGCTATTGCTTTATCTCGGCGTGATGTATATATACATATGTAAAATCTCTAAACCCAATTTATGCACTCGTTTTTAATAACCATCATTCTCAAGTTATAACCTTAATACCAAATCAAGCAAGAATGTTAAAATCACGTTGAACCAATCATTTGTTAGTAACAAATTGGGTTTCTCATTTCCTGGTCCTTTGCTTGTCCTGGGATTTCGATGAAAAAAAAAGTGATCTGTTTCTTGGGATCCCTGGATATGCTTAATTATTTTTAAGATATAAAATAAATCTTGAAATCAAATGATATAATTATTTTTTATTTTTTTAAGTAATTTTATACATCCTGCAACCTCCAAAATAATAATAATGCTGTGTAAAATATGTATTAAAAATTACCTTTGAATTATGTAGAAATTTTCACAAATAGAAAAAATTTAAGTTGGAAACTGCTTACAATAAAAAAAAAAATAAAAAAAAGCCTTTGAATTGAGTTGAAAATTTAAAGAAGAAATTAATTTATATCAAAATTCTAACTTAGAAGGTAATTTTTGGTATTTAAATAAAACATAATACAAAATGTTATTGTAAATTTTTATAATAAGGTTTTAAAAAGCAAAGATGGTCAATACTTCGATCACTCAATTTGATTCTTATTTTACTATGGAAAAGTCCTGCTAATGAGAATGCCCTTTTCGATTCAATTGATGTGGGTAGAATTGTCTTTAATGCATTTAATAGAAGACAGATGTTGTGTGTCTTTTCACCTGTAGCCTCAAAGATTTCTAGTTTGTTTTCAAGATGCGTTGTAGTAGTACTTTTGCCATCTAGTATTCTTGATTTGTCTGCCTCGGCTGCTTTAATAGCGGCATCATGCTTATAGTCCGATAATTCGGCAGTTTGTTTGGTTTTAATATTCAGGTTTATGAAGAAAAACTGCCTACTTGCATACTTCATATTCATTTGTATCCTTGCCCAATTTGCACAACCTGGCATAGTGCAGTTATTGAAGCTACTGGGCATGCTTGAAAATTAAAAAAAAAAAAAACATTAGCACAATTATTCAAAATATTACAGGACCTGACAAGAAAAGAACTTTAGAGTCCTGCCACAAATAGGTTACATATTGATTATTAACAATCTATGACATGCCATAACAAGCAAAAATTTAAAAAACTAATAAGTAGGTTTAAAATTAATAAATACAAATGTATTCTGACAGTTTATGAGTTAATTATACTTTCTATTTGCAAAATTTCCTCAATCTTAACACAAAATAAGAAAAATGTAAACTTTTAAGAAATTTGTGGGATTTTCCAGGTTAAAAAACAGCAGGGATACCATTAGAGAAACCTTAATAACAAAGCATTGGTGGCCGAATGGCCAAGTGGTTAGGTTGGCAGCAACCATGCTTTGGATCCGGGATCAAATCCAGACAGGTTGAAACAAATCCCGTAAATTTTTCCAGTAGGTGGTCTGTCTCCATATGCCAGGCCTCCTTCACCGTTTGGCCATCCCATTGTGAACCTGGTTGAACCTGTAATGGTTTGCTAAAAAAAAAAAAAAGCTTTCTTAATGCCTATAAGGTGAAAAAAGTTAAAAATAATAATAAAATAATGAAGTATCACTAAAAGGAATTTGATCAGTTACATTATAACAAAATAATACAAAGCAAGATATAACTGCATATAGCTTTTCTCAAAATTAATATCTGAGTTAAATAAGCAATTATTTATTGTGACATCATCACAAAGCCGGGCTGCAATTTTTAATTAATTTAATTTAAAATATATGCTCTCCATCTCAAATTTGTAGTGGCTTGCCCCTGTACATCATACTTTTCCTTTAACAATAGAGTTGTGCCTGTCATCTATCTAGCACCTTTCAGGGAAAAATTTTTGGATTGAAATAATGCAACTTCTGCTTTGCATCATAAGTTTGAATATAGTTAATCGAGGCTTCTGGTCTTGATTTTTGTCTGTCTAACTCCATTCTCAAGATTAATGAAGGCCATACAGATGATGACAGTGGGAATGTATAGGTCTGCAGTTTGAAACTTGCAGTGCAGTAAAGTGTGTTGAATGTTGCATTGTTTTTTTAAATAATAATAAAGTGAAAAAGCTACCCAGTTTATTTCATTGATAGTTGCTTTCAAATAATAATCTCACCCAATTCCCAAAGAAGAGATACAATAGACGCCCTCTAAATAAACGGCACAGTTGCAGGCTGAAAACCTTAAGAGACAACGTACTGTTTATTAGAATAAATATATTATGTCAGATAGTTCTATATGGAGCAAATCTGTGCAGCTCGTAAGCCTTATATTTTGTACTTTACTGTAATATATGCAAAAAACAATGTCATAACATATATTTCATTTCACAAAAAGATACTAATTGAACATTACTTTTATTTTAAATCAGGTGTAAGTATGCAGAAAGGCTTTGCTTTTCTTCAGTTTGGTCATGAAGATGAAGCAACTGAAGCAATTAAACAGGAAAACGGTGCCATGTTTAAAGGAAACAGAATTGGTACGAAATGAATGATTTATCATTTTTATACTAATATATGATTGCATTATTAAATTAAATAATTTTGAAATATAATAGTTAGCATGAATAGCATAACTTTAACAATAGCAAAACTAAAATTAATGCAGTAATACCTCAACTTGCGCGAACCCGGAGTTACGCGATTTTCAAATCTCGTCGATTCGCCTTTTGTTTGAGCACCACGCAACTATCGATTACTCACTCCACCCCCCCACATTATCGTTTAGCTTACATATTCAGACGTGTCGCGCAGAATCGACACATAACTCCAATTTATTTTGTGTTATTTATTTCTGTGTTTGTTATATCTACGGAGACTGGAGAGACTCTATGTAGTGATTTCTTGTAACTGTGAACGAATCAAAAGACAAGATAAGATTAACGAGAGCATTTATTAGCTTACATACATCTGACTTGGATTTTACACAAATTGCGAAATAATACCCCAACTTAAGCGAATTCAACTCGGTTATCGCTCAGTCCCATCTATTGTGTAAGTTCGGGGTATTACTGTATTCAAAAATTCTTACTTTTATGAAAAAGTAATGGCCTTTTAAAGTTTCTCATTATTTATAATGTAATGTCTAATGTTGGAAATAACCCATAATGAGTTAAACACGGAGAAATATCTTTTACAAAATAATGTCGTCTCAAATCAACAAAAGCACAAATAATGAAGCTGAAAATACTGCTTGGTGGCATTATGTTCTTGTCAATTTTTGTCTTTAACCCTTGATCATTCTATGTCAGATGATTCTGTTTGAATTAAAAGTATTCGTACATCTCAGAGGAAATATACTGTCTTTTGGTGTTAAATTTATTTACTTGATGATTTGAATACATGCAAGTACTTTGGTCATTTCAAAACGTCATCCTCACATGAACAAAGAAAGTACTTTGTACATCTTTTCAAATAAATCTTCAATTCTATTTTATTTACAGAAAAATGTGATATTTTTTTTCCTTATTTCATCTTATTATTACAAAGAAAAAGCAGTTTACACTTTATCTGTTGTACTGTACTTGATTTTTTTGAACTTAAGACACATTTAAACAATCAGGCAAGGATTGCAGCACTCTTTTTTTGTTTTTAATCAAATATTATGGATCAGTCAACAGGTTGATGTGGAGTTTTCTCTAATACCTTTTCTACGATAGTTTACTGATACAAACTGCTATATATAATGAACAAAAGAATCGAATGAGGAATATTTGAAAATACTTGCTTTGCCGAATTTTTTAAAAATAATTTGAATAACCTTATATTATTGTGTGGTAATGCTATTTAATAAAACTTTTTTATGATGGATTATTAAATAATAACGATTTTATAAGTTTTTTTATTTTTGTTTTATGATAGATTTATTAACAATTGGAAATAAAAATAATTTCAGAAGTTGCACATGCTTTTGAAAGTAAACGAAGGTCAGGACGAGGCGGTCGCAGATCATCTCCTATAGGAGATCGAAACTTCAGAGACAGAGGCCGGTAAGATTTTTATAGAATTTTTAATATGTTTTTCATAATTATTAAATACCATACAAATAATAGCATGTATTGTTTGCATAATAGTGATAAAAATTGCATAATGTAACTGTAAATTATGCAATTAAAAGAAATGAGATGCATATATATATTTTTTTTAATCATAAGTCTCACTTATTATTTTATGTTTTCCTATTTCTGTATTTCAATTATAATCTGTTTTAATTCTTAAAAGATTACAATGGTAATCAGTTTTAACTGGCTGGACTACATTAGACCCCCCCTATAATATGGGTTCATGTAAGATGGATTCATATAACATGGCAGAAAAATTGTGATCGTGTTCATATAACACACTAAAAGGCTTGTATAACATGGTAAAAGGATGAGACAAATTGTCATGGCCGACTTGTGTCTCGGCAGGATTGAACGAATCTGGACCAATAGTGGGCATTGCACAAATTGTTGAGTTTAGACGAGCAGTGGACCTACTAAAAATCATTTATTATTCAATGGATATAAAAATTATATTTCTATTAATGATATCTCCAAAGTTCAGCGAATTTTTTGCAGAAAGAATAACTTATCAGGAAACACACATCCGCCGTCCAATAAGCCACTCAGCGACAAAAACAAGTTTAAGCAATGGCATCTTCAAATAGTGTGCACTCGGTAATATTCCTACAATTTTTTGTTTATAGCAAGCATATTTATATTAATAAACCGAACACACCTGATTTGTATTTGCCAAGTTATTTTCTTTATTCGAACGTTTTCGGCCTATAAAGAATATAAAGAAAATAACTCAGCAAATACAAATCAGGTGTGTTTGGTTTATTAATATAAATAGCTAATATTGCTGAGAAGATAGATAGATATAGCAAGCATATTTTATATGGATTATTTCCAAAAAAATTGTGTGTGTTTTGGAAATGCTCGAGTGAAATTAGTCTAGAATCTATTAATTTTATGGAAGAAAACCTTTCAAACAGCCATACCCCCTAAACTGCACAAGTGCCGGGCTGTGAATGGCTCATGTACTGTACAGTGGAAGCCCAGTTAACAAACGTCCTGGTTAACGACCAAATCGGTTAATAAACTTTTATTTTGCAAAAATTTTGTCTCGAATAATGAACATAATGGTATTTTGTGTCAAATTTTAGTTGGTGTTAGGCATGCACAAGTTAAACGTTGCTTTTACGAGTGTTTGTGCTATACTTCTTTCAGTTTTGTGATTTATATATTTAATCAGTATGGCATCCAAGAAAGAAAAAAGTCAGTGGCAATAGAAAATGACAACGCAATGTAAACGACAATGCACTATCGCATTTGAGAAAAATTTTGATTAAAATAGTAAGACAATCAACTTTTAGATCAATTTCTTGTTCCTTACGGAAAGAGTTTGTTTCTTTGTTAAGTTATGACAATGCAACACTTGGGCGATCTGCCTAGGGGGAATGCCTTCTGGGAGGTGTTTTTAAGGGAAACTGGCCCCTATTTAGGTGTTACAGACGTGGAGAAAACCCGGAAAATTCCACATGGCCAGCCCGTCTGAGCAAACCCACGAACGAACTCCCTGTGTTCAAGGTATGAAGACCACTTAGCCGCTGGTGGGTTTCTTTTACCAAAAGAGACTTCAACTCAAAGAATCTTCCAATGAAGTGCTACCCGTTATTTTTTTGGAGGCAGTCCCCTCTATTGTGTAAGTTCGGGGTATTACTGTATTCAAAAATTCTTACTTTTATGAAAAAGTAATGGCCTTTTAAAGTTTCTCATTATTTATAANTATTTTTTTCTTTCTGAACTTTCTAAATTAAAATAAAAAATTTATTGATGAATTCAATGCCATGCAATGAAATTTATGCAATGGTAAAAAATAATTATTTAATTTAATTAGTATTATAAACTGAAGATAACTACACTTTGTATTAATATCCTATTGAAGGTTTATAGTATGAATATTGTTTAATTGTTGATGTTAACTAATATTTGTAAGGAATTTACAGATGTCTGCCAGCTAATATTAAAGATCAACCATGTAAAGTTGTGATTTTGGTGCACCGGATTACAAATAACAGCTGCAATTGATCTACTTCCTACTGAGTCATATCATCAAAATTTAAATAGATATTAATTTATTAGTACATTGTGTTGTAATCTATATATTTAACTGGCCATATGATAAACCTGAATTAATTATCAAACAATAGCACTGATGAATTCTGCTCTATCGTTTGGTTATTAATTTTGGCTTTGTTTACTATGTAACAATATTAATTATATTATATTGGGTTGTTCGGAAAGTAAGTTCGTTTTTTTACCACTAGATGGATTAGTCGTATTTTTTCCGCCATTTTCGTTCTAAACCGTATTATCATTATATATTTTGACAGCTAGCATTTTATGGCTTATTTGTAAAAAATTTTGTTTGATTTCGTGCAATTGTTTATTTTTTGTGTCCCATCAAATATGGAAGATCGAAAGCAGCATTCTCAGCATATTTTGCTCTTTTATTACCGAAAAGGTAAGAATGCTGTTCAAGCGAGAAAAAAATTGTGTGACGTGTATGGAGAAGATGTATTGACAGAACGACAGTGCCAAAACTGGTTTACAAAATTTCGTTCTGGCAATTTCAATATTGAAGATGCACCACGTTCTGGATGGCCAGTTGAAGCCAATGAAAACAAAATAAAGGTACTGATTGAAGCAAACTGCCGAATAACAACACGTGAAATCACTAAGAGATTAAATTTGTCAAATTGAACTGTTTATGATTACTTGAAACAAATTGGTTTCGTTTCAAAGCTTGATATATGGGTTCCACATGTTCTTAAAGAGAGATGCTCTCTTTGGTGGGATTTTAAGGAAATTTTTTTTTGGAGCTTTTACCAGACAATTTAACAATTGATTCGAAAGTGTACTGCCATCGAGTAAACAAATTGAGTAATATCATCAAACAGAAAAGGCGGCCAGAATTGATCAACAAAACAGGTGTAGTGTTTTACCACGATAATGTCAAATTTCACACAAGTTTGGTAACTCGTCAGAAACTGTTATAACTTAGATGGGACGTGCTATCACACCAACCATATTCGCCAGATCGAGCACACTCAGATTATTATTTGTTCCAGTCTATACAATTTTTTTTAACTGTAAGACATTTACTTGAAATGACAATGTCAAAAATCACTTGGATCGGTTTTTTGTAAGCAACGATCAAAACTTTTATGAATGTGAAATTGTGCTATTACCAGAAATGATGACAACAGGTATTTCAACAAAATGGTCGATAAATAATTCAACAAAATATTTATTTATTATAAAAATATTGCGTTTTTTTTCCACTGAAAAAAACGAACTTACTTTTCGAATAACCCAATATATATAACTGTTAATGTTTCACATATTCAACTTCAACTTTTAGATTTCAAAAGCCTGCATTTATTTATAATTGCAAGTTATAAATTATAAAGAATATTCTGTATTATAAATTACATAATGAAAGGTTCTTTTCATTACGTGATTCATAATACTGCTACCATTTAGCAATGGTGCACAGATTTAGAGAATTATATTATATTAAAATATAATTCTTTACATCTATGCTACTATACATTTATGTACATACTATATATATTATGAATTAACGTATTTTTTTATAATGAATTTTAACATCTGTAATTTAAGTTTAGTTTCCCAAAATTTTGTTTTAAATAATTACTTTATCCTGTTTTAACTACTCATTTCATTTATCTATTTCAAATAAATTTTATGAGTATTTATAAAGGATATTAAATGCTTTACTTATTTGGATTAATTTATTTTATTATTTTCAGCGATTTTGCTCACGATAGTCACAAAGATGGACGAGATCGATCTCTTATACGTGGCGATGATCGTTTTCGCGATAATTATAGGAAAGACGATAGGTAAAAAAAGAAAAACTAATTTCAACTTTGGTTAATCACTTTTAAATTTTTAATTTGTATATTTTCAATTAAAATTTTGTAATTTTCTTATTTTTTTTTAACTTATTAAAATTTAAATTTAGTCTCAAAAATGTGTAGAAATATATGTACTAATTTAATTATATAACTTTAATGAAGCTGTTAATCACTTAATACAGATACAAAGTATCGTTATGCATATATTCATATTTGATGAGTTATTCAAATCGAAAAATATGAATTTAGATATATCACATAAATCAGAAATAATGGTATATAAAATGTATATATGGTTGAACGTTGATTATCCAAGGTAATGTGGATTGATACTACAACTGAAAACTTGAATAAAATGTATTGCCGTGGCAATTTTGGAATAAGAATTATGGACATAAAAGATTTATAAGTATCATTTTTAAACCTATTTTTATTACTATACAGTTAATATGTACAATAGTTTTGAGAACAAAAATATGTATTATTATGGTTACATTTTAACTCTTGCTGTGTTACTACTGGTTTGGTATTTGAATCAATTTCATACTTTGTCCTAATAGGCTCCATCTTGTAAAATAGCAGATACCATACATGAAACTTGGGCACATATCCGGTTGTCAATGTAAGTTTGGATTTTAATTCAGAAAGGAATCAATCCAAATGAGACCACTTCTGTTTGCCAACTTGCACTAGACGGTTTACAGCAACAAAGCAAGAATTACTGACAATTTGTCACACTACTAGAAGTGTTACATTTCAATATGAATGATTTGTTTCACATTGAAAAACAAATGATAGAAGTTAACATTTTGTAAGCTTAAATTAAATGTTAGCATTTTAAACTTGTATCCTTTTGTTTTATAGTGGCTGTTCCCTTTACTGCAATGTTCTGCAGTAATTCAGTATCATTTTAATGGATGGTATGTCTCAGATATTTTGGGTTTACTACCTCTTCACTCGGCCATCTCATTATGGCCGAGTGAAGAGGTAGTAAGAGGGTCTGGCTGAACCACAATGAGTATGGAATAAAGGTTCCCGTAGTGCCACAGAGTGTAAATAATTTTAAGAAAAGTCACTTGGTCAGATACAGTTGAGATTAAAAGTACTACAGTATGTGTGCACTCAGTACATTCATAGCAGTGTATATAGAGATTCGCCTTGGTTAATTAGGGCTCAGATAACTGGAGTTCTACTGCATTTAAATTGAAATCATTTTAATGATGTGTCAATATGATCAAGTTTTTTTTTATAACTTTAATGTGTACTTTGATAAAGTTGTACAAAACTCTGCATCATCCTGTAAATGTGTGACAAAACCTGCTTCTTAGAGAGTATCAAAGAAACATTTTTTGACTTTCCTATATCCATTATTTGATCAATGTTAATTCAGGTTTACTAAACAGAATGACATTAATCCTGCCTCATTTTATGGGTTATTTCATTCTTTACTACACTGCAAACTACTTAACATTATTCACCGGAACATGTCTATTGAATGTCTTCAAAATGCTTGATTTGTCTCTAATCAAAATTTACACTGTGTATTCTTGACTTGTATAGGCTTCTACATTGCTCTGTAAAGTAATCAGAAATGATTTTTCAGTCTGAAAAATTATCATTGGTAATTACATGAATAAGTTTCACTCTTCCAGAAATATTTATGGCTTTGGTTCAGTTATTTTGCTGGATTGTAGAAATATTAGAATTAACTTACAGATTTACTATAGATAATTAAGTTGAAAATTAATTATAAACTTAACATTTTTCTGATTATTTCTAAAATGTTTAAATTTTATAATTTTATTTAAATTAATTTAATCAGTAAATTTTTTAATTATCCCATGTTATGTTTAGATATCAAAGGAAAGACGTTAAAGATGATAGTAGGAATTTTGATTCTGGTCGTGATTATTTCCGCCGAAAGTATGAAGATACATATTACCGTGATAGAAGAGATAATTTAAGGTATTTTTGAAATTTTACTCTTTGTTAAATTCTTCTCTTTGCATCTTCAGCATTCACTCTCTATTAAATTCATTAAAACATTCACTCTTTATCAAATTCAATAATTAAATTAATGTGATTTATATATGATTTTTACATACAACAATGCTTATTCATTTAGTCTTTAAGTTTAAATTCTGTAAATGTGTTTTACCAGCTGTTTAAACCCAAAGTTGGCTACTTAATGTAGTTGAAAACATTTGTTTTTCTTTAATTATTGTCAGACATTAAAGGTTTCTGTTCAGCTTTTTCTTTATACAATTTGATATAAATTTGGNATTTTTGAATTATCCCATGTCATGTTTAGATATCAAAGGAAAGACGTTAAAGATGATAGTAGGAATTTTGATTCTGGTCGTGATTATTTCCGCCGAAAGTATGAAGATACATATTACCGTGATAGAAGAGATAATTTAAGGTATTTTTGAAATTTTACTCTTTGTTAAATTCTTCTCTTTGCATCTTCAGCATTCACTCTCTATTAAATTCATTAAAACATTCACTCTTTATCAAATTCAATAATTAAATTAATGTGATTTATATATGATTTTTACATACAACAATGCTTATTCATTTAGTCTTTAAGTTTAAATTCTGTAAATGTGTTTTACCAGCTGTTTAAACCCAAAGTTGGCTACTTAATGTAGTTGAAAACATTTGTTTTTCTTTAATTATTGTCAGACATTAAAGGTTTCTGTTCAGCTTTTTCTTTATACAATTTGATATAAATTTGGTTTTGTTACATTTTAAAGTTTGAATTTTAATATTAAACTGAAATTTCTCTTAAAGATGAGATGCTAATTGTTATAAATCATAAAGTTGTATGTAATTAATAGGCTTAAATTACTTACAAATATATTTAGCATTGTTTTTTGCAATTTCAGAGATCCGGGAAGTGATATCTTACATTCTTATTACAAGGATTTAGTATTAGATCCAAAAAGACCCAATGACTGTGAAATTATTGTGGTTGATAAAGCGTACAGGTAAGTAATGTTTTTTATATTACTGTAAATATTAAACAGCTTAATAATTCATGTTTATATACTGGTATATCTTCATTTGCAAACTGTAATTTATTCTTGAAAGTCTTCATAAAAAAAATGAAAATTTATAGATTGAACACCCCACTTTCATTTTTTTTTAACAGGAAAAATTATATATGATTTATGAACTTAAGAAATTCCTCATTTTCACTAAAATATGTTAGTTAATATTCAAATTATTAACATTTGGAAAACATCCTTTAATACATTGCAGGAACACAAGTAACAAGTGCAGTTGACATTATTGGGCTGCATTTTGAAAAAATTGTAGACCTATAATGTCTACAATGTTCTCAGGATTAAAGAAAGACAGACAGATGGACAATGTCTGTCTGTGTGTATCTATCATTCCTTTATCTCAAGAACAGAATTAGATAGGTGAAAAATAAGAACTGATATGAAAACCTTAGGGGCAGGAAGCCCTGATTAACTATATATGAACGTCCAATATGAACGAGAAGTCGTGCTATTTCAATTCAAAAATTCCCCCGAAAGGAGTTAGATAACTGGCATGACTCCATTGTTAAAGGAAAAGTATGATGTTCAGGGGCAAACCACTACTAATTTGAAGTGGAGAGCATATATTTTAAATTAAATAAATTAAAAATATGATTGTCATAATGCTGGACTGCAATTTTTAATGTCACAATAAATAGTTGCTCATTTTACACGTTTTTTCTCATTGAAAGGTTCCACTGGTGTTTATGTATTGTAAAAGTTGTATAGTGGTAAAAACATGAAGATTTACTTAAATTTGTATATCCTGAAGACAATTGCAAAAACATTTTGTAAAGATTTTGTGATTTTTTTACAATAATTAAAATATTGTATAATGCAGTTTTTCAATACTCTGATGCTAGGACATTTTAAAATTTTATGTATTTTAGGTGTGATGAGTATATAAATACTGTGATATATACTAATATTATAAAGAGGTAATGTTTGTAAGTTTGTTTGCAGCAGGTAATCTCCGAAACTACTCATCCGATTTCAAAAATTCTTTCACCAATATTTAGAATGGAACCTCAGGGTGGACATAGGCTGTATATTATTCCGTTAATTAAACATTCATATAAATTAAAATATATAATCTAGGTTAAGGCTTTTATGTCCAACAGATGGCGCTACGAGTACGACGCCCTAAGTTTGCTTTTCTGTGAGGCATTATGCTTTTCTGTGAAAATGAACTAAAGCAGATCATCTTCTATCTATTTATATAAATAAAAATGTAACGATCGTTTGTTCCTACCGATTCCTTTGAAATTTTGACACAACGCTACATTCGAATACGCACATGCTTTTATATAATATACATGTCGAAATCCCCTCCCCGGGAGATGGACAGGACAGGCTTACCGTAAAGAACTCTGCTTCTATTTATACTATTTTAGATGCGGTTTTTTGCGTTTTTGATTGCGTTTTAATAGGGTACATCAAGAAAATGTACACTGAGGGATTTTTCGAAAAATTTTCCCCCCCCCACGGGGGAAGTGTTATTCATTTATAATAGATACATTTTGAGCCACAACAATGCGTGGCGGGGTCTGCTAGTTTGTTATAAAGTAAAAATTGGTAATGGTTAGTCTCTGCTGAATATACAAGTTCTTGTGAGATAACCAAAGTTAAAAACAGTGAGAGGACTGGATAGTGCTCATTATGGGTTTTGCACAATGGCGCAGCTGGGTGGTGAGGGATGGGACGATCCCCTCAAAGTATGGAATTGGCCTCAGTGTGGCAGTGCGAGGCGGCAGGTTAGAGGATCTGAAGGTTTTGCCTTGTTCTCTGCCATTGATAGTCTTTAGACGAGTTCTACTGCATTTAAATTGAAATCATTTTAATGATGTGTCAATATGATCAAGTTTTTTTTTATAACTTTAATGTGTACTTTGATAAAGTTGTACAAAACTCTGCATCATCCTGTAAATGTGTGACAANTGGGTTTTGCACAATGGCGCAGCTGGGTGGTGAGGGATGGGACGATCCCCTCAAAGTATGGAATTGGCCTCAGTGTGGCAGTGCGAGGCGGCAGGTTAGAGGATCTGAAGGTTTTGCCTTGTTCTCTGCCATTGATAGTCTTTAGACTCAGGACTAAGGTTCCAGTGGTGTCATAGTATCATAGGCCTTGGGTCTGTGTACCAGGCCTTAGTGAAGCTTGTTGTTTGCATGCTAAATCCCTATCCGTGGCCTCCAGCTGGGTTTCAAATGTCTCCCTAAATTGGAACCTATCTCTGTTCAGATGGATAGCAATCAGAGCTGCATTTTAGCATAGTGGCATGCAGACTCACATCAAAGCAGAAAGGAGACTGGCATGGCCATGACATGGTGGCTGTTCTCTTTGGCTTTGACAATAAGAGGGCCAAGATGGTCTCTCAGGAAGCCCGATACCAGAGGATGGTTGCTGTAGCTACTATGAACATGATTCTCAGGGAGGTTTTGTCTTCACTTATCTTCTTCTTCAGACAAGATAAGTGAAGTTAGTTGTTTGGGCTTGTCTGACATAAGTCCTACTCAAGACATCCTGCTGATAAGGAGTGAAAGCGTTAGCAAGTGCCTCTTGTGAGGAGTGCCTTAAAATATGGTAGGGAACCCTGTAACGCTATTGTGTGGTCTGGTAGGAGTCCCCCTACCCTCGATCAAACACTGCTCTCATTGGCAGCAAGATGACCGCCCCCACTTGTCATACTTGTGGGTGAAGTTCCCAGTGTCCTCTGTGGACCTGAGGATGCTGGATCTCCTGGATTCAAACACTGCATCAGTATGAGAATTAGAGGCTGTGGACCTGATAATCCTTACCCTCTAGAACCCAAGACACACTTCTACAAACTCCTGCATTCTTCTCAGTGGCACAAGGTCGATGGTTCCACACACTATGGCCAGATGAATGCAGTTGCTCTCGTGCAACCCATGTAAAACTCCTCCTACACAGTAAAAGAGAAGCAGTTTCCTAGGAAGAAGACCAGGCTTTGCAAACCCAGTGTTGGCCTAGGGGCTGTGGTCTGCATACTGAAGCCAGTGGAGCAAGAAGTCTTACTCCCATTGATGAACCCTTGCTGGCGGCCAGGGGGATAGTGCCTGTAGTGGCTTACAGGATCCTGCTGACTGCTGTCTAATGTGACATGTGGTTGGCAGAGCCTCTCTGTGACATAGGGCAAACTTCCTTATGTTTTTAGGGGATGGATGTGCTTCAAGGCCCATTATGCATTGGATAGACTGTAACTGCCCAGAGAACCAGAAATGGGAAAAAGCATCCTAGTAAGAATCGGGGCAGCCCATGCCAAGCACCCAGCCAGGCTGGGCTGACCCTGGGGAGGCAGCCATTTAAATGGGTAGCTGTCCTGTCATCAGGCCAAACCAGATGTGGGGAGGCTCATAAATGCATTCCCCAAATCTTGAAAGAATGTGGGACACTTGTGGAAGGTTGGGAGTGGCCTCACACCCTTCTTTTGAATTTTTACTTTATGGTGGCAGAACAAAGAGAGTTAGTACATGCGACTCTGTGCTCTCAATAATATAAAGTTAAGAATCCTGAGAAAATGGGAGATATTAAGGAGCTGGCAAGATCTAAAGAGGGAGGAAGTGGTGTATCCGGCACCACAACCAAAATGTGGCAGTCCCGTAAGAAGTGGAACGCTATCAGAAAGAAAAAGGCTGCAAAGTTAGGATTGCCAGTTGTTGAAAGGGCCGAGGAGATCATTGATCTAGCCTCCGACTTATGTCCTGAAGAGGTTGACAAGGTCACCTCACTGTATTGGAAAATGATTGCTAGTTATGAAATTGCTACATAGTAAAATGCTCTAACTTGTCAAAATAGATTATCCCAGTGCTATGATCTTCAAGAAGAAAGAGTTGATAACAAAATTGTTTATTGAGTTAGTGTTATAAAAATCTCTTGTTAACTTTGTCTATAAAGACTCTGATATGTTGTAATGTTTTGTACACACATTGTAGATTCATTACAGATTATTGTATATCTGATTATTTTCCTCTTTTATATTTATATACTGTACATACTGTGCCGGTGTGAAGTGGTAGCTGTCTGAGAGCCATGGAGTGTTGGGGATGCTACAGTTATCCCTAGTTGGTACCATAAATGTATCTAAATTAATAATAATATTGGAGGTGAAGATTGGACAAAGGTCTAAGTAGTGTAGTTGGCAATGCATCTATATAGTGTAGAAATTGTGGGTTTGAGTCTCCCTCCAGGTCCTATTTTTTTCTTTCTGAACTTTCTAAATTAAAATAAAAAATTTATTTACTTATAATTATTAAATTTATCAAGAAATGGCATATAAACTGCCTACCTCTTATCAAACTACTGTTTGTTTAATTATTAAAATTCACCTTAAAAAAATAGCCTAATATTCTGGTAGATAATTTGTTTTATTCTCTCTTCAAATGCGGAAGATTCATTACAGACAGCATTATGGAAAGTTTAAATTGTCAGAAATATATCATTTTTATAAAATTTACAAAGTTTTTCTTATAATTGATATTATTTACCTAGTTATGTTTTCTTTTATATGATATTATTAATTTACATTTCAGACTGTATGCTGAGTCGGTGGAAAGGCGTCTTGTAAATCTTGGTATGCTTGTAGATATGGTATTTCCAAAAGATGGAGCTTTTGTTAGTCAGATAGTTGACGATATTACTAGACGTGGGAGTTTGTTTGCTATAGTTATTTCACAACAACATGAAGCACATAATTCTGTAACATTAAATTTACTTCAAGGAAATCCACAAGGTAAGTATAATTAATATTAAGTTATAATATATATAAAATTAACAGTTCATCAGCATTTCCTCTGATGTGTTTATGAATTTCTGAAACATAAAAATTGTTTGTTAAATATAATATGTATCATTCCTGTTTATTAGTTTATTTTAATTGAATTTAATTTTTTTCAAAATGTATTGAACCTACATTTCTCAACTCCAGTTTGAATATAAATAAGAATAAAACGAACATTAAATAAGTAGCCTATTTTTAATAGTAAACCAAATTATGAAATTTTATCTTTGGGTTAATTCCTACAATTAGAACTATATTTTTTATTATTCAAACTGTGTTACAATGGCTGTTTATCTTATATATATTATAATTAAAAGGTGTATAATAACATACATTAGAGAAAATATAGAATAATGGAAGAAATATTTTACATTTAAATTGTTTAAAAGTTTTCTATATTTTTAAAACGTTTGATTGATCTCTCCATTTTTGCAGCTTTTAATTATTATCATATATGACATACAAAAAAAATTTATATGATTGGTGTCACAAATACAACACACAACACACCCCAAAAACTTTTGGGCTGATAAAATTGCATCTTCAGGGGTGTTTATAACTATAAAATAGGTCTTTGAACAAAAATTTCAGCTTTTTTGAACATATTGTAATTTTTCACCTGTTTAAAGAGGGTGATTTCATGAGATTTCCTGCTAACATTCTCTAATAGAACATCTGAAAATGGACTTTATCAGGCTGAAAGTACTTGAAGTGTTACATTTCATTTATGATTCCAATAAAGCAGGCTTTTTGTGAATTTGATTAAAATTTGGATTATTTTCTTGAGTTTCAGCAGTAATTTGTACATACACAAGGCCTCTCAACAACAGTTTAAGTAGCTAGTGTTAAAATAACGTGTATTACGGTGTACTCCTGCTAACTTGAATCAGTTTTGTTCATTATATTACCGAGTCTTCTAGCCAAAAATAAAAAATAATTATGAATTATGTATTAAGAGCATGACCAAAAATGTAAAATTAAAATGTACTTTACATTTTAACATAAATATGTACAAGATACAGTGAATATTTTTTAATTAAATGTAATTGTTGGATTTTTTCTTTCTTTCTCTGTAAGTATAGCCCTCACTAATTAAGTTACAATCTTCTGAATTTGAGTGATATCTTCTGATAATGTAAACACAACTTATAAGTCATATAAATTTTCATTTTGTTGTGACTAATAATTTCAGATGTAACAGACAGTAGGCATTATATCACCACTGCTTTCTCCTAACAATATTGAGGGCCGGTAGTATTTCTCAAGTTGTTAATTGATGCTATAGATTTTTATTTTACTTCATTTATTTCAATTTTGAGAAATTTCAAATGATGAATTATTTTCTCAAAATTATTAAAGCATTTTAGACTTCTGATTACAGCAAATAAATTTTATTTTTACGAATCAATAAAAGTTATTTATAACATTAACCTATTCCATGTTGAAATTTTTCTCCGTTGTGTCACGCCATGTTGAATTTTTTTCAATGTTAACCTAACAAAAATTACACATTTTTGAAAAAAATAATTGTGGCTATTGTATCGTCTGAAATGATTATTTTATTTTGCACAAACAAAATAGATATATTAATAAATGTAAAAACAAAAAAAAATTCTATTTCGGAAGTTAATTTTAATATAAAAATTATAACAACTAGTGATATCTAGTTTCAAAAACGTTTCGACGCTGAAACGAGATATCTCGGGTCCACCGGTCAAGGTCAGAAGGTCGCGACTTCAGATATGTCGGGAATAACAAGGTACAGGTTAAATGAATAGCTTTATTTATTATTTACTTTCAAGTGTTTAAATGATGATTCTTTATTCTTATATGATACCTACTTTTAAAATAATTTAGTTTCAGTAAGTATTAAAGGTTTGCCAAAATCATTGATTGTGCGCTTCCCTTATCAAATGCAATTGTTACTTTCCTAACTGTTACGCATATAACATGGGAAAATATTGTAATTGTTTCAAATTTGATCCTCCTGGGTTTTTTTGTAAATCTTAATATTTTGAGATCTCCTGAACACGAAAATATGGAAAGAATTCCATGTGTATGTTAGTGTCTATTTTAATTAATATCTCAGCACAGATTAAGAAATGAAATTTGGTACAGTAAACTTGTATATAAGGGGCATTGATGCTATTAAGTTTTGATGGTTAAAGGTCAGGAAGGGGTTGTGAGTGCTATCTCAAGTAGGGTCAGACTTAATGAAAAGTTTGCTCGTTATTGGCATTTACAATTTTTTGAACTCGTCTCTACCCTGAAGACTAAGCGTTTTGCTTTTTTGTATTAATTAATAATATAAAAGTTACTTTTTAAGAACGTCTCATAGCAAATGGTGACCCACACAATTTTAAATTTGTGCTCTGTCTTAGTGTTTCTTAAATAAACATTTTTTTAAATAAAGAAAATTTTCACGATTAAAAAGAAAATCACTTCTCTTAAGCTTTTGTTATTATTTAAATTTTATATCTTAGTGAAATTGAAAAATATTGGACTTCCTAATGGTTTTCTTAACCTCTTGTTCGATTGCTGGGAGAGATGAACAAGAGCTCTTGCCAGCGCTTTTTAATTCTGATAGTGTAACTATAAATGACTGAACAAATATTGTTAATATGGTTTAAGTTTGTTCAGATTTTGATGATAGATTATTTTATAAACTATTAATAATCAATATTATTTTATAAGCATGCATCTCTCTCTCTAATCCTTTGTTGAGTGGGTTTATCAGTTGCTCCCTCTTCCCCCAGAGTGAGTTAGTTTTTAAAAAATTTAATTTGTTGTGTTTTAATTCATATTTTTAATAAAGTAAGCAATGTTTTCTTATTCTGATTGTGTTAAATTGATATCAATAACACCAAGAATCCAGCAAGTAAAAACAATTTTTCAGTAGTTATCTTCTGGTTAGTTGTGTTTGAAATTGGATCATAAAAAAAACAAAAATAATTTTAAATTGATGGACTACAGTATTGAATATTTTGTTGAAAAAATCCAATAAAGAAGACAGTGTGAATGACTACTAGATGCCAAGTTTTTTTTTCTTATAGAAAATTCTATGCTAAATTTTGCCGAACTTAGACAAAAAACATTTTCTACACCTGTCAATACATGTCTCTGTCTGTAAAATTTCAAGTTGCCTGTAAATGTGTATAAGCATACTACAATGAAACAAACTTGAAAATATTAATTTATATACACGCTTACTTTGCAGAGCCCACCACATATATCATGTATATTTACAGGAGTACGCGTCAAAAGGTTAATGGATAAATATTTAGAAGATTCAATTCTTAAATGATTTACATGAGTATTAAATATATTTAGTTTTATTTGTTACAAAATTACAGATGACAGATAGCCTTATAATCATACAGTTTTCTTTTATTGCTTTTCCTAGTTATATTTTACATTTTTGGACTTGGGACCTTGAAATGTTAAGAAATGTAAAAAAACCGGGAGTTTTTTCTGTTTATATCAACGTTAGTTTGCATATGGAGTACAATTTTATTCACCCATTTTGAGGCTTAATGACTTCTGTGTCTTTTGTTGAAAACTTCTGAAATTTTGCAGGGTGGTTTGCATATTAGGGGAATTGATGCTATTAAATTTTGATGGTTAAAAGTTGAGGTGGGGAGATAAAGGGTGTCATATATCTCCAGTAGTGTTGGACTTAATGAAGATTTTATGTGTTATCAGAATTTATAGTTTTTTATAAAATTTATCTCTACCCTCTGAATTAAGTTTTTAGCCATTTTATAATAATTAATAATATAAAAAGTTTTAAATTTCCTAACAGATGGTGTCACATACAGTTTTAACTCTTGCTGGGAAAGTTATGCAACTCGTTGCTAGTTTTTTTTTTTCTTATTAAACCAGAGGAAATAAGGGCAGTAATGTGTACCACGCAACCCAAGACCTTTGTGTGCATTTACAAGTTTTTCCCAACTCTAGGTTGAATTAGTGTGTGTAGAGTGGTCTGTATATTGTGATGTGTGTTACACATTCATTGTATTGTCATTTCCTTATTACAATTACTGAGTACATTGAGCAGCAAATTTGCATCAGATTCTATCACACGCTTATCAGCACATAAACTCATTAAGATACATAAGGGCTTTTGGTAATGATGTTATGGGGAAAACAAAGTGTAGTATTGTTGATTCAAAGATGACAGAACATACATTAAGAGTGATGAGTGTGTAGATTGTTCCTTAACAAGCAGAAATCACCTGCAAGTTCTTTAGCAATACTGGGATTCAGTTCATTGCAAGAGACCTCTCCTGTAGTGAGAGCAGCTTCACTATGACAGTGCAACCATCCATTCATTGCATCTGATTCAGGAGTTTCTCATCAATCAGGAAATACCACAGGTATTGGCATTCCCTGCTTGCCAGATTTCATTGATGAAATGATGTTGGCTTGTTAAAGAAGAGTGGATGCATGTGATGAGGCATGAAATGAGTAGTTGTGTGTGATAACAGATGATTTGCAATTTATGAATTAATAGTTTCCAGTTGTGTCTTACCTGGCCCACAAAATTCTTAGAGTATCATCATTACAAGAAACTTAGCTGTAGATGGATGCCAAAACTGTTGATTAGCATTCCCAAACCACAAGTACTTGTAACAGTATCTGTGTTGATCTTTCTGGGACATTATCAGACCATATTTCTTAATTACATATTATGAATGATGACAAAATGAGGATTGTGCACATCATATTAAAAAGTCTTGGGGATGAAAATTCAAATCTCAACAAAGGCATGCAAAAGTTGGTCTCACAATATGACAAATGCCTTAATTTATATAATGATTAGGTAGAGTAGTAGTATAAGATGTAACAACATATTGCAATAAAGATATTTTATAAAATAAAAATATTTAAAATGCTTTTTACATTTAACCAGTTCTTACTTTCTGCTATATTTCATTCTAAATGAGGACTAG